CTATTTTGTTTAAACATTTATGTTTTAGTGTTATAATTTGTGTTCATTCTAAAATGAAAGAGGCATAATTTATGTTTATTTCCTAATTTTTTATGGTAGTTGCGAGATCGGTAAAATCTACCAAACCAGTACAGAGGTTAATTATTGAAAATAACAGATAAAACATAAAGTTTTTTCTTAAGAAATTTTTGGTAACTATCTGGACAGTATAAAAATTTTACATGTGAAATTTCAAAATTTTCTGATGCATAAAAGTATTTTTAAGCTTAAAATGAAAATTACTTTGCATGATGGATCGGCAAGACGTGAAAAGAAAAAAAGGCATGAGAAAAACATTGCTTTACAAACCTTAAGATATTTTGCTTATGAAAGCATTGTAATATTTACTGATAATCTGCCAAATTTCATTAACGTTTGCTTACTAATTTAAAAGTTATAGCATGAAAACTATAACAAGCACAGAATGGTTACGAGGTTGGTCACAGGGACCGAGCCCGGGCTGAAAGAGTTAACCATTGTGATTTTAACTATTTTAACTTGTGACTCTATGCTTCACTGATCCGTTTTAACCAGTGTTATTTGTAACTATTTTATCTTGTGACTCTTATCTTTCACAGATCAGTTTCCACCTGTGTTATTTGTAACTATTTTTACTTGTGACTCAATGTTTCACTGTTGAATTTTCACTTTTGTAATTTCTGTTTTATCTTTTGACTATCCTTCACTGTGTTATTTTTAAGTATTTTAACTTCTGACTCTAGGCTTTGATGTTCAGTTTCACCTGTGTGATTTCTAACTATTTTAACTTGTAATTCTATCTTTCACTGATCAGTTTCCACCTGTGTTATTTCTAGCTGTTTTAACTTGTGACTCTTTGTTTCACTGTTCAGTTTTAACCAGTGTTATTTCTTTTTTAACTTGTGACTCTATTCTTCACTGATCAGTTTTAACCAGTGTTATTTCTGTTTTAACTTGTGACTCTATTCTTCACTGATCAGTTTTAACCAGAGTTATTTCTGTTTTAACTTGTGACTGTTTCACTGTTCAGTTTTAACCAGTGTTATTTCTTCTTTAACTTGTGACTCTATTCTTCACTGATCAGTTTTAACCAGTGTTATTTCCATTTTAACTTGTGACTCTGTTTCACTGTTCAATTCCTCTTGTGTGATTTTCAACTGTTTCTAACTATTTTATCTTGTGACTTTATGCTTCACTATTCAGTTTTCATGTGTGGTATTTCTAACACTTTTTGTTCATATGTTATTCCAGACTTCCCACTGCCCATACCTGTTTCAATGTTCAATTCCTCTTGTGTGATTTTCAACTGTTTCTAACTATTTTATCTTGTGACTTTATGCTTCACTATTCAGTTTTCATGTGTGGTATTTCTAACACTTTTTGTTCATATGTTATTCCAGACTTCCCACTGCCCATACCTGTTTCAATGTTCTGCTGCTACCAGAATACACCACTAAAGAGAAGCTTAAAGAGAGGTTATTAAAAGCCATCAACTATTCGAAAGGGTTTGGAATGCTTTGATGACTATCTTCATTCCTTCTTTACGTGTACAGCATAGCAGCTAAAGTTAGTGAAGTGTTGTCTCAAGACAAACCCACCAAAATTCTAACATCCTCTGACACTGTGCTGCAATGTTCATCTTCTCTAGTGAAATGGTTTATGATATTTATAAGCTTAGAAGTTTTAATTGTGAGACTAGTATTCTGGAAGGTCCTGTGTCTTCAATCTTTTTTTGATTTGTAATTAACATTTATCTTAATCTTTGTTTCGATGATTAATTGCTGAACCATTCTTACCAGTAGTGTTGCTGGTTTGAAACATCTTTTAACTTAACAATAATTTTTACTGATCTGTTTATGTTATGTTTTAAAACTAGATATGTTTTATATAGGTATAGGATTGTTAAGACAGAGAAATTAATCACATTGAATAATTGTTTGTTTGTAATTAAAGACTTTTGCCATAACTATATGTAGTCTTAAAGACATGTTTGTTTTAATTACACGTAATTGCTTGTTAATCACTCTGTAAAGATTTTGTATAAGTAAGTTTGTAAAGTAAACATGTTAGTGTGGAACAGGGAGGTTTTTATGTTATTTTTCAAATCAATTTCACTTTTTATATAAACATGCATTTTTTCTTTGCTAAAAACTGTTTAGAAATCTAATATTTTTCACTGCTTTAAGAGTAACATTATACAGAAACAATTACAACTTGTATTTACTTTGCTATCCCATAGTGTTATATATGAAATGTTGTGTCTTCTGTATTATGGGTGTAGAAGGATTCCTAGTTGGAACTCCTTTTTCTCAGATTGGGATATGATCAACAAAGAAACCAACTATCATTATAAGTATATATTACTTGTAAATTTCCTACATGAAACGACTCAGTTTTCATTTAAAGTGAACTTGTGTTGATAACTAGCCAGCTTTGCCACTCCTCAAGTACAAAGTCCTCTTGTCTATAAAAGTACGGCAATTTGTCTTTCTGTATTGTTGTTTAGTACCTATTTCTCTTGCTGACTGTACTATGTCATTGCTGGATTATGACATTGGCTGCTTTTGTTACCAATAAGCACAACATTTATAGTTTTCAAACTTGTTATTCTTCCTTGTTAAACTGTCTGTTTCAGCCAGTATCACACAGTATGAGAGGAATATTCCCATAGCTTGCAAGAGAAGAAAGAATGGTACTTTCATAAGTGGCTTAGAGTGTTCAGTAATACAGGGTTTGAACCCTGATGAACAGAGACACTAACAATGAAGTTTTATTATCAAATAATTAATTACATAAATTAACATCATCATTTTAATTCCATATAAACAGTTGCAGACATTAACATCATTGTTCTAACTCCAAATAATCAGTTACGTACATTTACAACATTGTTTTACCAGCATATAAACAGTTGCAGATATTAAAATTATTGTTCTAACTCCAAATAATCAGTTACGTACATTTACAACATTGTTTTACCAGCATATAAACAGTTGCAGATATTAACATTATTGTTCTAACTCTAAATAATCAGTTACGTACATTTACAACATTGTTTTACCAGCATATAAACAGTTCCAGACATTAACATCATTGTTCTAACTCTAAATATACTGTTATATACATCAACAACATTGTTCTTAATTCAAATAATCAGTTATATACATTAACAACATTGCTCTAATTCTAAATGAACAGTTGTATATATTATTGTATTTCCATATAATCAGTTACATACATTAACATCATTATTCTAATTCCAAGTAATCAGTTATATACATTAACAACATTGCTCTAATTCTAAATGAACTGTTGCATGCACCAACAGTATTGTTCTAATTCCAAGTAATCAGTTATATACATTAATAATATTGTTCTAATTCTAAATGAACTGTTGCATGCACCAACAATATTGTTCTAGTTCCAAGTAATCAGTTACATACATTAATAATATTGTTCTAATTCCAAGTAATCAGTTATACACATTAACAACATTGCTCTAATTCTAAATGAACTGTTTCATACACCAACAATATTGTTCTAGTTCCAAGTAATCAGTTACATACATTAACAACATTCTTCTAATTCCATATAATCAGTTACAGTTTTTTCAGAAAGGAAGATTTGTTTTTAGAATTTGTATGACATTTTAATGGTAGAGGAGGTTTTAGTATTTAAATAGTATTTAGAGTACTTGAAAATGATTGCACCTTACTGCAAAAGTTGTTATAAAATAGTACTTAATCAGTTACGTACACTAACAACATTGTTCTAGTTTTAAATAATTAGTTACAAACATTAACAACATTGTTCTACCTCTAGGTAAACATTTACAGAAAATAACTTCATTGTTCTCATTCTTTATGAACAGTAAGAAGAACAGTGCCCTGGCCTTACAGAAATATTTGCATAAATTAACAGCAATGTTGTGGCTTTAAAGAAATACCATAACAAGTTTTGTTTTTCAAGATAAACATTAGCTAAAAAAGTGTGTAATTAACAGGTTGCCATATAAAAGCAAGGTCTAGTGAGGATGACATCTGCTGTTCTTCAATATCTGCACACTTGTGTGATAGTTAATATTTCCTTTATAGTTTTCTCGATATTCTATACTTGGCTTTGCATAACAATTTATTAATGAGAGCTGCATTCTTTTAGGAATTTCCAGTAATTTCATAATATTGCTTTAAATATTAAGCCCTCTTTAGAAAATGTAAACATTTCAAAAGGTTTTGTTGACATTTTTTGAAATAAATGTAAAAAAACCTGTATGTGAATTAAAAGAACTCTTTTGGTGCTCTTTTTTTATAATTTGTTTATCATGTTTACATGAAAGGTGACACATTACACAGTATAATAAACATGATACAAGATTTAAGAATCCTGAAATTATAGAAGCTCCAGTTTTCAATGGTAATCTGAAGTTCACTGGTAACAAACATAATAGTGTTTTGACATAAAGTATGAAAACAAACCTTGGAATAGAAAGCTTTCAGTCTTGTTGCCTGTGTATTTTACTTCACTGTCCCATAAGAACATTATATATATATGTTACAAACTAGATTAACAGGTTCCATACAGCACTGTGTAAAAGAACGTTACATATATGTTACAAACTAAATTAACAGGTTCCACACAGTACTGTGTAAAAAAACATTACATATCTGTTACAAACTAAATTGACAGGTTCCACACAGCATTGTGTAAAAGAACGTTACATATATGTTACAAACTAAATTAACAGGTTCCACACAGCATTGTCTAAAAGAACATTACACAGCACTGTGTAAAAAGTAAACTTAATAGTAGGACCATTTTCTGGATGGGTGTGCCCAAATTCAGATACAGTATTTTAGTTTCAAAATAAATGAACTGTTTCTGTGAAATTCATGTGTGCCGGAGCAAACAGGGTAGCTGCTGGACCGACATTTTGTTACAGTAACAGTAAGGTTTTTTAAACTTTAACTTGCACTTCACAAATTGTTTCTAGGTAAATAGATAAACTTGTAGTAGTTTTAATGAATCAGTGTATAATAAGTATAATCTGCAAGTGTACATGCTTGTGCTTGCTTATAGCCATGGTGAATAT